TCATAAGATTAAGGGGTTCTGGTCAGCTCCCTGCTGAGGCTTACCACCTTGTGTCTTCTTCTCTGGCTGTGGGGCCATGTGGTCACACATCCTGGTCTGTGTGGTTGGTAGGTACAAAGGGAGTTGCTATATTAATAGGGCCTTGTCTAATCCATGAGGGAAGACCTTCTATTCTAAGACGGGGAACAGCTATTTATTGCTCTGTACAATAGGTGATGGGTAGTGAAGTATCAGGACTCCTTGGAACTCTAGAAAATAGCATCAATGTGCCCATCTTAGCAAAGGCACAGGTGTTAGCTCTGGTGTGTTCTCTTGAAAAGTCAGCTCAGCTATGAAAAAAAGGGACCCAGTGAACCAGCTTGGCTTAAAGGGAAAGAAAATTATTTCAATTCCGTTTTTTTAGATTGGGCTGTAAAGAGTACTTGTATTTCCTCACTATTTTGAAATACATCTGAGCCTTGGAGTCATTTTCTGCAAAGGAGAAGTGGAGGCAGTCATGGATAATTTGGGACTTCAAGGATATATAAATTTTCTTGTATTTAGAGTTGGAAGATGGGTTTAGGTTGAAGTCTGCTGGGAAGGCAAAAAGAGAGGAATGGGGTTCTTTTTTTAGGAAGAAAAGTTATCATGAGATTCTTATAATTTTACTGTATTTTGTGATGGTTGGGATCTATGAGTATTCGGCAGGAAAGAACCTTCAGGGGCAAATGTCATTTGGTCTTCCTGTGTTGGAGTCAAAGGTACTTTAAGCAGACTCAGGCCTGCTTCATTGTCCTAATAAGGCTTGTTGCTGTTCTGTTGATTTTTAAGAGCCAAACATTACTCATCCCTTCTCTTTACAGCACAAATTCATGATCTTTTTTATGTAATTGTTCTCACTGAACTTAGAGTTTATAGTAGAGCAATTTTCAAATTTTCCTGGCAGCCTTTAAATAGAGACAACCCTTTCAAGTTCAGTGCTTTGTAGGTTGTTTTATGATGTACCTGGATCCCATTTGTATGAGGGGTGTGTGTGTGTGTGTAATTTACATTGACGTGTACAGATTTGTTTTAAAAAATGAGATGTTTTGTAGACCCTTAAAACATCATGTAGATACTAATGACTGTTATTGATATAATCATTATTATATTCTCTGTTTTGCCTCTGTACCTCCCAGAACAGCCACCCCAGAATTGATTTTTTTTTCCCCTCCAAAAAATTCCCTTGCTTTGTTTCTTCTCATTTCCCCCTGTCTGACCCAATTTTCTTCAATTACTTGTGCCTTTTGGTTCATCTTTCTTGAGTTTGGAAGTAAAGATGGAGACCCAAGTGGATGTCCCAGCTATCTCTCACCAGCCAGGGGATCTCAGTGCCTCAGTTTCCTGTCTCTCACATGAGGGTGAAAGTACACAGCATGGGTCCATCCCATTAGCAACCATGTGCTGCTCCCTGCATTCTCATTAGCTTAGAATAGCTTCCATTTGCAAGTTCCTCTGAAGTTTTCCCAGCTAGTTTACTGTAGCTCACCATTCCTGTTCTTATATTTGTTAGACTTGTGATTTTGTTGGTTTCATTAACTCTGAGGAGGCTTGATTTCTGTGCCATCCCACAGCACTCTCATGTGGAAGCAACGCAGAAAACTTGCTCTGGGTCCTGGGAGGCAGGGTGGACTTAATTGTCAGAGGGCAGCTGAGGTCTTGCTCAGCCCTCAAGATCTTCAGTGCCCTTCTGACCAGCCCAGGACTACAGCAAAAGTAGGCCAGAATCCCTCCTATTGCAGCTAGATAAGAGTGGAGAGGCCCTGGACTGGTGTTGGTGGCATTGAGAAGCCTCTGTCTGGCTCTCTGCTCTCTCTTCCCTGGGTCTTGCTTCTCCTCAGGCATTGCTGCTGTCTGCTTCTCTACCAGCTGCTATGGGACAGCCACAGTTACAGGTCTAGGCTACATGAAGGGCCAACTGGGCTGCCACTCAGAAAGGTGTGACCATGGCCTGGGCTCCAGGTGGAGGTACCTAGAGGGTGTTTGGGAAAGACCTGTGGTCCAGGCCACTCAGCAGATGTTGAGGCTACCTCCACAGGACCCAGTGAACACCCATTTCTACTGCAAGGTCTTTTGTTATATTTAGCCAGATGAATGAGTGTAAAGCCCACAACTGCCTCAACACTTCAGCCAAGTAGGAGTGTTCTTTGTCCTTTAGGGTGTAAACCTGAAACTCACAACTTCTGTACATTGTGAAAAGCAGTGCGCATCTCACTGAAGCTGTTCCTGGAAACCCTGGAGTGCTCGTTTAGCTGCTGCATGGCCTTGCAAAGCCCAGGAGTCTGGCTGAAGGCTCTCATGGGGCCGTTTCCCCAAATGCCCAGTGGGATGGTGAACACTTGCATGTTAATTGAGACATTACTTCTGGTAGTACTTTGAAACTTTTAAAGCACTAGACAGATTTTGTTTGGTACAGGAAGGTGTGGAAGTTGAGAGAGATGGGGATGTGTCCTGCCTGTGAAAACTTCTAAAACTAGAGGAAATAAGATACATGTGGGTGTTTAAAGATGATTTTCTGCACATCTCTTATGGCTTCAAAGTTCTGGGGAAGGTCAGTGGGGAGGAAGCTTGTGGAGCAGGTGATGTCTGAGCTGGGATTGGAAAGATGGCTCCTTGAGGTAGCCATTGTGGGTGGGGCATTGACAGATGATTTTGAAGGTCAAGCCCTCCAGGCCAAGGCAGTAGTGTGAGAAAAGGCACAGGTTTGGAAACATGTCAGACAGTATATGCCAACCAGTGAAGTGGATTGGAGCACTGGTTTGGATTTGTACCGTGGGTTGGGAGGACCTGTGGGCAATGTTGAGCCAAGGGAGTGCCAAGGTCAGAATGGAGTTTTAGGGTGAATCATCTGGCAGCAGTTTAAATGGGTGGAGTTACAAAAGACTGGAAACTCTCTTTAGTGCAAGACTACTAGAAAACTATGTAAACACAAAAGTTTGTTTATCTTCCAATTATTATTTTAAGAGTAAATGGGATAGAAATATGTACTTCTACATAGAAGTACATCTGGAGGCACCAGTCAGGGTGGTACAGGTCCCAGGCTTCCCAGTCCAGTAGCAGCAGCAGCAGCAGCCACTCTGAAACAGTGCCTATTCGTTAGGCAGACTGTTGTGAGTGAAGGCATAGTGCTGCTCAAGCAGCATGTGCAGGTCCTTTGCACCCTCTAACTGTGTCCTTCCTTTGCTCTTGCTTTTTACTCTTGTCTTGGATCCTGCCCATACCTGGACTTGACTTCCTTGACTTAGTTTCCCATTCAGTACTCAGTACTGGGGCTTAATCTGTTTCTTTTCCTAGCTTGTCCTTGACCCTCTCTAGGAAGCTCTCCCCTTCCTGGTGATTTGGAGAAAACACCTTCTGAGACCACCCCATTCCACCAGGACTAAGTCCAGGGACCTCCTCTGTTGTAACCTTGCTGAAGGGACCAGCCTAGAGACAAGTGTTGAGATGAGTGGAAGATTCCTGACTACTCTTGAGCGTTGGTCCCCTCCAAGGAAAAAGGGAGACAGGTTTCTCTCTCCCTGTTAGTCTGGGAAGCTTTAATGTGGTAATGATGGAAAGGACTGGCTGTATCCAGTGAATATTGGTTGCCTCTAGATTTTTGTTTGTTTGTTTTTCCTGATCTATTCCAGATGAAAAACATTTCCTGAGCAGCTCAACATGTCCTCAATCTCTCTTTCTCTCTCTATATATATCTTCTTCCTTCTTTGCAAAAACTTTGGTATAAAATGCTTAGCATTTTTTATTTTCTACTCCAAAAGTTTGTACCATTGTCTTGAGGAAGGCCCCTGAGATCCCATGATAGAACTGGAAGCATCATTACTTACAGAAATAATTTTACTTAATTCACTATGAGAACTTTACTTTAAGAACATTTTGGTCTGCACAGGCTTTTAGGAAATTCTAACAGCATTGTTCATTTTTATGAATAAGTATTTGGACAGATGTTCCCAAGCTGGCAGCTTATCAACAATTTTACCAGAAGCTATCTATTTGTAACCCGAGAACTTCCCATCCCCTGTTGTGTTACTGTTATACTCCTAAGCTTGGTGGTGAATGATACATAGGAAGCATTGATAGTCACACTGATACAAAAGCAGTGTGTGGTTAGCCTTGTGCCTTCCTGATTGCTGAAAATGCAGGATCTCAAGTTCTTAAAGTCTATGGCATGGAGGTCTCTGCCAAGGAAGAAGAGGTGCTCAGAGCTTTTCCCATGCACCTCCTCCTCCTATAAGCATCCGCTCTCTTGATGACCTACCCTTCACTTCCCTCTTTTGCCATAAGTGTGTAGGCCACACTTCCCCAGAGGAGGTGACCTATTAAGACCTTTTATGTGCCAAAGTCTGGGGAAGTCTAGTCCCTGCCCCTCCATGGGGTGGGAAGGCAGAATGGCGGGCATGCTCTAGTCTTTAAAGGAATACCAAGAACTACTCATTACTTTACCGAGAAAAGTATGACACCAAGCTCCTAGTGGGAATCAGACGCTGTAATAAGTGCTGTCAAAACTGCCCTCCTTTTTTGGTCACCACAGCGAATCTATAATGTAGATGTTAATGTCAATCTCATTTTTTTTAGATTCAGGCTTTGGAAGTCTAAGTGACTTATCAGCTATGAGTCACCCAGTTATGAATGGCAGAGTCAGGTTTAAATACAACTTCTGTCAAAGCCCAGGCACTTAGCACTCTCCATGCTGCATAGGTTGTGGGAGAGACTGTGCCTACAAGGGACCCAGCAGCTGGTCCCTATGCCTGTGACACACCCACTCCATGCATGCTTGATGTGGACCAGGGAGCATGCTGGACCAGTGGCTGCAAGTGGAGGCTCAGTGCCAGGCCCTGTGCCTGCTATGAGACACAGCTCTGCCCTGGCCCCCAAGGTCCTGTTGGCTAATTTCCTGCCATAGTCTTGCAGGGAGTGGGTAGTGTGGGGGAGGGTCTAGGCTCTTGCATTTTAATTCATTCCAAACAATCTGTTTTGCTTCTCAGGTACCCAAATAAGCTGTTTCTCCCCAAGTTCTTTCTCCTGGCGTCAGGCTGCCTTTGTGGATTCTTATTGCTGGGCTGCTGTTCAACAGAAGAACTCTCTGCAGAGTGAGTCTGGAAACCTTCCACTGTGGCTGCATAAGGTAATAGAGAAACTTTCCAATCTGTCCTACTTGTTTTATAGATGAGCAAGTGGAAGCCTAGAGAGATTGTGCCTGTCCACAGCCTTGTGGATAGGTATGGCCAACAGGACTGTTTCTCAGATTATAAAGCCACAGCACTTTCAATTCAAAATCTTCCTTGGTCCTGCAGCTTTGCATAGCAGATGGGGACACAGGTGCTTTGGATTTTCAGCTCTATAACAGAAGCACCTTGTTGGTCTCTATTACTTTCCATTAATACCCAACAGAATGTCTGGTTCCTAGGAGGTTCTCAGTACATTCTGAATGTTTGAAAGAGCAGGGCTGAGAGTAGCAGAGTCAGGATTTAGCAAAACTCCTTCACCAGTGACTTTTCTGTCACATACAGGGTATCTTGGAAAAAGTAAGGACCAACATAGAATTTGGCTTCTTCTAGCATTTTTGGGGCATTCAGAAGCCCAAAAGTGTGACTCCTTCTGGGAGTGCTAGGTGCAACACGGCTTTTGGAGTAGATTCCTTTGCTTTCTGATGGGTCCAGGCCTTGCAAGGAAGGAGAGATACTACACAAGAGACATCAATATTAGGTTCTGTGTCCTATAGAGAAGAGAGGCAAGTCAGGAGCTCTGTGGTCAGGGGAGTGCTATGGAGCAGGAACACATAGAGATTGGAAGCTAAGAACCTGGGCTGGAGTTAGCAAGTTTGTGAAGAACATTGTGAGCAATAAAGTAACTACATTAGGTTTTCTCTGTGCATAGGAAAGGAGGACTTTGTCTTCCTTTCCGCCTGTCATTGATTCAACCCCTGGTTCTTTTGTCATTCATGAAATGAGAAGATGTTTGTATATCTTCAGGTATTCTCATCTACTGAGGAAAGCAAAAAATTCTAGCTCTGAAAACCGAAAGACTGAAGTTCTGTTTGACTCTCTCTTGCTTTAAGCTACTGCTGGATGACCAGTCACTATCCTCCCTTTTGAAAAGAACAATTGCAGTTTGCTGTAACTCAGGCCTGTTTTCCATCATATTTGTTTATTGAATGTAGTTTGGCATTGTGGTGCCCTACAGTGACTCCTGTTTGTATTTGGGTTGGGCTTTTCTCTTTGATGTTCAGCCGAGCCATTGGATGAATCCTTGCCAGCTTTGCCTGGCTTTGTAGCCAAGGCAACATAACATAAGGATCTGTGGCACAAATAGACACAGGTCCTGAAGTTGGACAGCTTTGTAAATCTCAGTCTATGCTGTGGAAATTTACATCCATGTATTAAAAGCAGTTATGGAAATGTAGAGTTGTAACCAGCTACTGTGTTGGGCATTAAGGCAGCCACTGAAGAAGATTGTATAACTGGGATTGTCTAGTTTAAGAGCTTGCAGCAATATTTGTGATTTTGAAACTTTTGGAACAAGAAGAAACTCAAAAGGTTTTTGTCCAGATGCATTTCACATGTTAGAGAACCTTGAGAGATCAGGCCCAAGAGTCAGGACTAGTTGCCAGCTGTACAGATAAGAACTCAGGCCTGCAGACTCCCAGCCCATTTTCCTAACATCAAGGAAGCGGGGGTATGGGAACAGTCAGTGGGTAGTCAAGCTTTGGATTACCTTACATTCAAGAGAGACTAAGAAGTTCTTTCTCAGTAGATTACCTTGTTTGGACAGATGAGCAGAGTTCTTGCCAGATTCACAGGGCTGGGAACAGAAATTGAAGTCAGGATCTGCTGCATTTGGAGGTTGGGACCCTGAAATGCCATTCCTTGGGAGTAAGGGGTGATGCAGAATTAAACTAGCCCTCACAGGAACTAGAGTCCTGGTTTGCATTATTCAGTGCCATTGGAATGAAGGAGGTCTGGCATTGCCAGTGTCTTTAGTTTGTCTACCTGCCTGCTAGAAGGAAAAATAAGTCCTCTCTGGAGGAAGGTGTCACTGACTACAGCCTCAGATTTGTGCTCTGGTTTTTCATATAAGGTATTTAGAACTTAACTCAGAGATTCAGATGTGCAGGAAAACGAAGGGAAAAAAAATCAGAATGGAAACAGACCTATAGGAAATCCACTTCAGACACCCATTTTAAATCATTACTAATGAGTTCAAAGAGTTATGAAAATGTGGAGAATTTCACAGAACTGGAAACTTCATAAAAGAGTCAAACAAATTCTCAAACAGCAGGTGCAAAAAATTTTTTTTTCAGCTGACGTTCATTGAAGGCCCTTAGTAAGCTAGGACGTGGGCTTGATAGCAGAGGGCTACCAAGGGACATGGTCCCTTCCTCGTGGATCTCACTCCTTGGTGGCAAAGCAGACACATAAGATGATACTGAGGATCAAACCCAGGGTGTCACACACTCCAGGCAAGTGCTCTACCACTGGGCCACAACCCCAGTCCATAGGTTTTATTTTGAGACAGGGTCTCATCAAATTGCTGAGGCTGGCCTTGAACTTGCTGTCCCCCAGCTTCAGCTTCCCCAGTCACTGTAATTACAGGCATGCATCTGGCTATACTGAAATTTTTAAACCTGTATCTGGGGATATTTTTTTTGTGGTGGTTTTTGTTGTTTTTATTCTAATTTGTTATATATGACAGCAGAATGCATTACAATTCATATTACATATATAGAGCACAATTTTTCATCTCTGTTTGTATACAAATTATATTCACACCATTCGTGTCTTCTTCATACATGTACTTAGAGTAGTTATGTCTTTCTCATTCTGCTGTTTTTTTTAACCCCCTTGCCCCCTCCCTCCCCTTCCCTCCCCTTTGCCCTATCTGACATGTGTGAGGCCCTGGGTTTGATCCTCAGCACCACATATAAACAAATAAATAAATAAAAATAAAAGCTTCATTGACAACTTTAAAAATAAATAAATAAGAACTAAAATGAGCTGGGAATGTAGCTCAGTGGGAAAGTGCCCCTGAGTTCAATCCCTAGTACAGGAAAGAACAGTTTCTGTTCTCACTTAATCTCACCAGACATATATGATCTGTGCAGCATGGCCCATAGCCATTGAGATAACTGGAGTTACCCGATACAGTCTATTACCCTAGGGTGAACAAAGTCAAATTGTTATTTTATCTTTGAAGGAATAATAAACATTTGGTTGAGTATGGCTTTTTTTTTTGGTTTATGTGTTCATCAGATATTTTATCATTTGACTTTGTCCCTCAGCACTGTGTGTCAACTCTAACGGTGTCTGTTTTAGAGCCAATACCTCTTAAGTTAATGAAAAAAAAAAAAAGATGATACTGAGAGGGAGTAATCAGAAAGCTAGATAGGAAAGCAAGAGTGTGGTTATTCTAGAAACCAAGGAAGGTGTTTCCAGATGGAGCAGGAAGCTCTGTTATTCTCTGCCACTATGATTAGGGTGGATCAGAGCTTACTGGATTTAATTAAACCACGGGTGGTCGTGGCAGGAGGGATTTTATTGCAGAAGTAGGAGCCAGATGGCTGTGGGTGAAGAGTGAATGGGAGGTGAGGAAAGGAAATGATGCAAGTAGACAATTTCTTCAATTTTTTTTTTCCTTTTCAGAAAAATCTCTCTTCCCAGTAAGTGGAAGAATGAGTAACAATCTATGTAGTAACTGTAGGGAAGGTTGAGGTCCAGAGAGATTTTGGAATAGGACAGTTCTGAACAAACCTAAATGCTGATGGAGTAAGAAGGTAGAGAGGAGGCTGGGGTGTGGAGTCCAACCAGCTCAAAGCACTGCCTGGGGAAGGTACAGAGGTCTGAGAGAGGCCTGTCCTGTTGGGAAGCAGTGGGGCCTTGACTGACTGGAAGGTGGGCTAGGTTGTAGAGGATCTGTGAGAGCTAATGAGGTGTGCAGGCTAAATGCTGGAACATGGGAGCCATTGCAGGTGCCTGAGCAGGGTGAACCTGGTGGTTCCAAGAGTTCATCCTTAGGGTGGTGTGTTGGTGAGAGTAGAGGCAGGGAGAGAACCATTAGCTGGGCACAGAGAGAGGGTTCTGATCAGGGAACAGAAGGGAAGAGAAGCCGGTATTTCTGAGAAGGCACAGAACAAATAAAAAGCAGCACTTTTTGATTAGAAGATTACCCTAAAGGATAGTGAAAGGTGATATCAAGTGCTTAGGTCAGGGGTCAGCAGACTTTCCTGTGGAGGGCGGGATAGCAGAGTCTTTCTGTCTTTGTAAGTTACACAGTCCTTATTGTGGCTACTCAGCTCTGCCAAATTAAACAATATGTACAAGATGGGTTGTGAACAGATTCGACTCAGGGGCAGCAGTTTGCCTACCCCTGGGCTAACACAGTAACAGTGGAGGTGTTAAGAAGTGGGTAGGTTCTTAGTGTCTTAGAAGGTAGAAACAACAAAATGTTCTGATTGGATGTGGAAGAATAAGGGAAAGATTAGAATCCAAGACATAAACAAGGTTGGTTGCAAGCGGTGGGTGGAGGTGAGGCCATGCACTGCTTTGATGAAGCCTAATGAAGGAGCAGGTTTTGAATGACAACCAGATAGTCCTGCTTGACCATGTTAAATCGGAGGTGCTCTATGGCTCACAGGATGTGCCAAGTATATAGTGGGTATGGTATCTGGAGATCGCAGGGTGAGTTGGAGCTATAAATGTTGTGGTCTTTCAAGAGACAGATGGTGTGGAAAGCTGCAGGACTTGGAGGGGTTTCCAAGGGAGTGAGTTTTAGTGGGGCAAAGTCTACAAGGGGACTCAACATGGAGAATAGAAGAGATAGAGAGCTGGGGGTGGAGAGAAGGAGAAGCGTGTGCTACGTGAATGAAGGGCAGGGGATCCTGTAAAGCAGTCTTGTGTCAATATAATAACCTGTGTTAAATGTTGCCAAAAGGGCAAGTGAGGTTAGGATTGAGACTTAGATAAACCCCACAGTTGGGGTGTCATAGTGTCCCCTAAAAAGTGCTGAACTCTTTACCCCCTGGACCCTAGAACAAGACCTTATTTGGAGATAGAATTGTTGAAGATGTAATAAGTTAACATGAATTCATTCTGGAGTAGCATGGGCCCCTGATCCAGTACAACACTTGGG